ATTATTTTATCAGTGTCTGAGCCGGTGCTTGTCAGAAACCTTGTAAGTATTTCATCTCGGAGCTCTCACTCTCCTCATCTCAAACCCGGCGTTTCCTTTTTTTTTTTTTGATCTCTCGATATCTCAGACTTTTAGCTGTTTCGCTGCAGTGAACCTCGGTCATCACTGCAACCGTCTCATTAGAGATGATGGTTTGATGTGCAGTTCACTTCAGACTTGCTCGATTCTGGAAGGATGTAGTTCAACTGAAATGGTCCTTGAAAGCCAAATGGTTTTTTGAAGTGTGTCTCCAAAACCTTTTATATTATTCAGAGAGCTGACGGTGGAGGAGAGCGTCTCCCGCAGCCGCGGACCCTTCGCTGTCGGACGCCACTCAGACCTGATCGCCGTATGAAGTCTGAGACTCACTCACAGAACCATTTTGTTCTGTCTGTGGTTCAGACATGGTTCAGCGACTTCACTGCCCGTCCGAGTGATTAGAACACACGTCATGTACACGTCAAAAAAAAAATACTTCCATCGTTTGTCGGGTGTATCGCAGTACGTTACTCTTCAGAACTGAAGTTACTGCTGAAAAAGGGATTTATTTCAACGGTTGAAATTTTCACCTGCCAACTGGACAAATGGAAACACACGAGGGCAGCAGTGACACGGTCCCAGCAGCCACTTATCATTTCAACCAAGAAGCCGTTTGACAGCAGCGACACAGAGTCTGACTCTTAAAAAGTTTTCTTATAAAACCTTTTTGTATGAATTTGAACAGGAAATGTCCAACTTTGTTGGGCTCCAGTGGTCCGTCTACCAGTACAAAGCTAGCGTCCACTGGTCCGGTGGTCCGTCTACCAGTACAAAGCTAGCTAAATTCAGAAAGTGTATATGTGTAATGAAATATAATAAACTTGTAGTTTAAATGACCTCATCATTGACTAAAATCTCAGCCTGTTTAGTTGAAGGCGACGCTGATATACTGGCAGGAATTGAAGAAAGACATTCACAAAGATCTTCTTCAACAGCTCTGATTATCTTTGATTTCATAGCCATCTGCTGCCCCCTAGCAGAGGAGGATGTAATTGTTCTGTTCTTTCATGCTTTGACGAACATAGAAAAATTCTATGCAATAAATTAATAATACTTTTCAGCCCAATGAAGTGAAATTGGATCATTTTCCACGGCACACTCGTGGGCCACGGTGCAGGGGTTGGGAATCACTGCTCTAATCATCCTCTGCCTTTCTGTGCCTTTAAGCCTAACTACACAAAAACTCCCCAAAAAACTCTGACAATGTTTCACCCTCGTTATAACTACTGAAGGTGTCGGTGCGTGGGCAACTTCACATCCTCCGAAACAAAACTTCACAGCCGTGTACCAGCTCCTCCAACGCTGCTCTTTTCTTTCTTTTTTTTTTTTGTTTAGAAACTAAACAGTTAAATGTGGCACGGATTTTGTTGGCCAAGTCACCAGCCCTGACCTCGGGTCACACTACGACACGTGTGTCAGGGTGTGAAGTAGAGACGCCATTTATTTGGAACGTGTGAAGAACGATGAAAA